TTCAAGTTGCTACATTATTTGTAGTAACAAAAAAGTTGAAAAGGAATCTAAATACCTATCAAGAGCGTTTGTGTTAAATAAATTATTCGATTGTGGTACAAATCATACAAAGAAAAAGTCTGTAGTCTTGAAAAAGATTAAGGAAGTGTGGGGAAAGACACTGAATATTGGTACTTGGGAGGAAAAAGCAAGACGTGAGTTAGTGTGTGGGTTCTCATTTGTGTTACGTGAAAAAAAGATAATACAGTTGACCCTTGAACAGGGTGGGGGGTAGGGGCGCTACCTCCCCCTCCTCCAGCCTTGTTGAAAATTCTAATATAAATTTTGACTCCTCAAAAACTTAACTAATGGCCTACTGTTTACCAGAAGCCTACCAGTATTAACCATTGCTCAACACATACTTTGTATGTTAAATTATATACCACATACATCAATGTTATCAGAACAAGATAAAAAGGGATTTTGCAAAAAAAGGGCAAGGTTTTCATGCCTCCTAAAGCAGCTGGAGCTTTAGCTTCACAAATTCATTTCATTTTTTACAAGTGACCCTTATGCTAGATTCATTTGTCTTAAAATAACAAGACAGCCGCCCCTGCAGCTAGGGTACATAGCAAGCAATCCGATTTTTTCTAGTAATGTCATGAAGCTGATTCTTTCTTTTTTTTTTTTCCTGTGAGAAAAATACATTTATTTTTGCTCTTATGTCACCAAGTGTGAGGTAATTTGTTATAGCTGTCCTAGATTTTTTTCTACAAGAGAAAGCTGGAATTTTATTTAGCTGATACTTTTTTTTAAATGTTTTATTGTGAATTATGTAATAGTTTATATGGAAGAACATTAGTTTTATATTCATTCTATCATGTATCGTTTCATTACCATAGTTACAATCCTGTCCATGCATCATCAACCAACCAAAGGGTATACCCTGCAAGCCTGCCCCCCCCCCCGACCCCCCCGGTCTTTAGCACACAGCCCCTCTCCCTCTCTGGATCTAAAGTCTCCAGCTGCTCCATTGCTCCACGTCATCATCCTCTCTGCCTCCATCTCAGGCATCACTGCTTCTCTGGGTAGGATCCCGCTCTCTGCTCTTCTCCATTGATGGTCCCAGGGCCCTTCGCTCCTAGACTGCAAAGTTAATCACTCCCCTCCTTGCTATAAAATGTCCACTTTTACATTTCCAACCTTCACAATCAGTCCTGATAACAATTATTCACTATTGCATCACAAGAGACCCATCTGCATTTCATTTCATCAGCACTTCCTAGACAGGTTGGATACTACTCACTGGAGACTCTACCTTCCTCCACGCCCTCTGGCTCTAGGTTCCCTCTTGAAAGCTTGTAAGCCAGTCACTTCTTGCCTTTGTAGCCGCCTCCCCCACCCCCCGCCATGAAGCTGATTCTTGAGAGCAGTTCCAGCATCACTAGTGGCACTTTGTGTGGGTCCCATGTTGTTAGTCAAGATTTACAGTGTTGCATAAAACATGAGGAAAAATAAAGAAAATACACGATTTACTGGAGAGTTGAATTATTCACCAGGAGATAGTGTCACATGGCATTTAAAAAAATATGTCACAGTGTAAGTGGACCCACATAGTTCAAACCCATTTTGTTCAAGGATTTGTGTATTATAATACACACACACAAACACGTCTCGGAGACTCAAAACAGCGGGAAAGATAGTTGCCTCTGGGGAAGGAAATAGAGGTTTGTGTTTGGTTGGTGATAAATCACAATTTTTTAAGTGATTGGTTTGACTTTTAATGGAGGGAAGACTCGAAAATACAGGCCTCTACTCAAAATTTTCTTCCGATCCGAGCCCTTCCCTGGTCTCATTGGTGGTGGTATGCCTTAGAGTCAGTTCCCACTCATAGCGACCCTGTATAGGGTTTCCAAGGCAGTAAATCTTTATGGGAGCAGAAAACATTATCTTTCTCCCGAAGAACGGATGGTAGTTTAGAACTGCTGACCTTGAGGTTAGCAGCCCAACTTGTAACCCACTAGATATTCCCAAATTGCTCTCCAAAGCAGTAGTACCAGTTTTCGATCACAGGAGAAGCAGGCGCAGGGGAGCATCGTAGCCAGCAGAGGGTGCCAGAGGACTGCGTGGGCCAGACCTAGAAGTGGGCGTCCTGAGTTGGGAAGCCCCTCAAGACTAGGAGGCTACCCACCTCAGTAGCAGATACCGCCCATTTCCGGGCGGACTTGACACTACAGCATCAAAAGTGCCACCTGGCTTACGTCCGGGAGTTTGTCCGCAGCCCGGAGGCCCCACCCCAAGCAGCTTCCTCCCACCTCGCAGGTCTCTCACAGTCTGCCGCCTGCTGAAGAGGGAACCACCGGGGTAATTCAGTCAGAAGGAACGTCAGCCCCACATCTGAGAACGGCCCTTCCCCCTCCTTTCCCCTGCAGGGCGCAGGTGATTCGACCCTTAGAAGGAAAATGGAAAACTTGGGGCCCAGACCTAGAATGCCCTTCCGAATCTTCAGGGGATAACAGTCACCTACCAGCCCCTTTACAGTTGAGAAAACTGAGGCTCAGAGAGGCTCAGTAAGAACTAAAGAAATGTCCTTAGACAATGCCTTCTTCCTGGTCAAGATTAATTCTCCAATTCTGATGGACTAATTCAGGACTAGTAAATCCAACTATGGAGCGCCTCACTCATGGGCTTTGCTGAAGAAAGACCTGGTGATCTGCTTTCCTGGAAATCAGCTGGCAAGCACCCAACACATATTTGCTTGTGACTTGATTCTCTTTACTCAACATGAGATTTTTGAGATGTAGTCCATTTTCATTGCTGCATAGTGTTCAATTCTACTTTTGATAAACAATTGGGTTGGTTCCAGAGTTTTGTTATTAGGAACAAGGGTGCATTGAATATTTCCTTTTTTTTTTTTTTGGTCCCTCCCTGTGCACATGTGGAAGTGTTTAGAGCAAGGCATCAAATTCTCACTGTTGGTTGCTCATAAGAATCACCTGGGGAGTCTTTTAAAAGCCAGTTCGCTGGAGGCCACACCCCTGGCTAATTAAATCAGAATGCCTCTGGGCGTGGGGCCCAGGTGTAGTGTTTGAAAACTTCCCTAGGGCAATCTAAAGTGTAGCGGGAGAGGCGGGTTCTGTACTTGCTCTTCCCAGGGAATGGAATAACTGGGAGAAAAGAATCACCTGTCCACAGGGCAAACTGATGTCAAACCTTTCCAAAGTATCTGCAACCCATGCCTCCTACTGTCCTCCCCTCCTCATCAGCACTTGATATCAATGGGCAAATTTTTACCTGTTTTTTGTGATCTGGTGGGTGTGAAATGGTATCTCACTGAGGTTTTAATTAGCATTTCTCTCTTTACTAATGAGGTTGAGCAGTAAGAAGGAAATGGAACCAACCTGGGGAAGTTCTGGGGGGTGGGGGGTGGAGAGAGCATGAAAGGCAGGTGCTAAGGTCCTGTGGTGGGAAAGGGCTGGGATGCTGGAGGGACAGAGTGTTATGTGGGGGGTTAGTGTGAGTATGGGAGAGAATGACCCAAGACAAGGGTCAGATGAGCCACAGCCAGGGGGGCATAGTGATGACTTTGGCTTTTGGCTGTTACTGAGGCAAGAGCATGAGATGAGAGTGGGGGCTGTTACGCAGAGAAGGGACATGTACCGATGGCTGTGTATGTGCTGGCTCTAGTCTGAGTCTGCGTAATGAGCGATACTAAGGAGGGCCTACCTGAATTGCCTGAATCCCCACTCCATCCCCCACTCACCAAAGAAAGGGAATAACTATTGTTTGTTCATTGCTGTTATCTCCAGCACCTAGTGACCAAAATGGACAATCGTCCCTAGGGGTTTTCAGACGCCTTGCTCCGCCTTGCTCCACCGGTGGAAACAAGTCAGGCAAGGCCCGGAGGGGTTCATTTCTGAGCACCTGTCTCCGGGTTCTCCCAGGGACACAGGGCACGGTTGTCCCACCCTCCGCACCCCCTCATCTCCTGCAGCCAGTGTGCTTCATTTGAGGTCATAGTAAGTAGATCCTCAGAAAGATGACAAGGCCGGCCTTCCCTATTGCTTCCTCCCACCTGCGGGCAGTGATCTGTCGCCAAAACTCTAAAAGGGTCCCTCCTCTGCCGAAAAACCTGTCTCGGCTTCTCAGGGCCCTCGGGACAAAGTCCAAACTCCTCGGGAGGCACGTCTGATCCCTCCTGGTCTTCCCACCCTGCTCTGGGAGCTGTTCAATGACTTGAAAGTATTTACGGATTCTTACCTCGGGGGCCCTTCCCCTTGATAGGTTTTCACTTCCTGTGGGAAGTCGCCCGACCCCCTGTCAGGTGACCCGCCTCTTGCTTGTCACGGCACCCTGTGTCCCCATCAGTCTTCCATTTACTTCGTCTGTTTCCCACACCTGGCGGCGTCCCTGGCGCATAGTGGGCACTCCGTGAACACTGGCTAAGTGAAGGAAAACAAGTATCTGGCAACAGAATGCTGACTGATTTGCAAAATGGTAGCGATACCCACTACCCACAGCCCCGTGAGCGTGTCTGCGTCTTTCCCCAGCGATGGGCATAGTCCCTCGTCCACACCCCTCTCCGAGGCCAAGGCGGGTTGGGACCGTCAGGTGTCCCCGCGGGCAGCGCGCATCGCCAGGGGGCGCCAGAGGCGCTCCAACCGCTGGACGCTGAGAGGGCGGGCGCACTGGGGTCCCGACATGTAGCCCCAGCACCCCCTCAAAAGCGCTGGGTGCTGGTCTTCCCGCCCCGCACGGAGGCGCCCCGCCCGCTCCCTGCGCCACGCGGCGCGAGCCACGCCCGCCCCCGGCGCACCTGCCCGGGGCGTGGCTTCCGGCGGAGGCGCCTCCGATTGGAGCAGAGGTGACAAAGGGGCAGGTTCACTCATGGCTCCGCCCCACAAGAGTACTTAAAGGAGTTTGGCGGCACGTCTGTTCTTACAGCGCAATTCTTCGGCCTCGCGGGTGGAGATTACCTCGACCCCTGCGCGACCCAGCCACCGTCGGCTACCTAGGCCACCATGCCGCGTTCTTTCCTCGTCAGAAAGCCTGCTTGCTCCCGTCGGCGACCTAACTACAGCGAGCTGCATGACTCGTCCCTAGGTAAGTGTGCCGGGGTGCTGGACCCCAGGGAGTCGCAGACTGCGTGGGGGTACTTTGAGGGAGGAGATTTGGGGGCGTTGTGGGTTAATGTGCCTGACTGCAAAGCCGTTTGAACTGCAAGGTCGGCGGTTCAAGCTCATCAGCTGCTCCTCGGAAACCCTATACAGGGTCGCTATGGGTCGGAACCGACTCAACGGCAGTTTACAACAACAATCGAGGGTGATGTGACGGTAGAAGGGACTGTATGGGGACATGAAACGAGGGGCCTCAGGGCAGGTGTATCAGGGAGCTCCGCCTGGGAGCGTGGGGGCAGGGAGGGAGGTAGGGAGCAGTGGTTCTGGGCCCAAGGGACTTTTTGAGGGGAATAAGAGATACAGGCCCTGGGACCTCTAAAATGAAAGGAGGGGGCTTGTGCTAGGGAGACCGCCACAGTGACTGCAGGGGAGAGGATTTTGGGGAAAACGGTTGATGATATGTGCCTAGCAAAGGGGGGATTGGGACAGGGCTGGAGAGATTGGGGGTTGGGTGCTGGAAACTTGGGGAGATGGCAAGAGATGTGGAGCCGTCTCCTTTGAACTGGGCTAGGAAGTTGGGTCTTATTTTAATTCTCTTCTTAATCTAAGAAGTGTGGAGCGCCAGCCAGCCCCCAGCCCCTGGACTCAGTGGCCAGGGTTAATGTTTGTTAACTGAATGATCTAATAGCGGACACTGTTCTCTCCCTTCTCAGAGTTCACCTTTGAGCAGCCCTACGACCAGGCCCATCTGCTGGCAGCAATTCCTCCGCCCGAGGTCCTCAACCCCAAGGCCTCGCTGCCCACACTCATCTGGGACTCTCTCCTGGTGCCCCAAGTGCAGCCCAGTATCTGGGCCTCCCTGCAGACCCAGGAGGGCCCAAAGGCCTCCGAGCTGACCTCCCTGTCGGACGAGGACAGTGGGAAGGGCTCCCAGCCCCCCAGCCCTCCCTCACCGGCTCCTTCGTCCTTCTCTTCTGCCTCAGCCTCTTCCCTGGAGGCGGAGGCCTATGCTGCCTTCCCCGGCTTGGGCCCCGTGCCCAAGCAGCTGGCTGTGCTCGCTGGGGCCAAGGACCCCCAGTCTCGAAAGGCCTTCAACTGCAAGTACTGCGACAAGGAATACGTCAGCCTCGGTGCTCTCAAGATGCACATCCGCAGCCACACGCTGCCCTGCGTGTGCGACACCTGTGGCAAGGCCTTCTCCCGGCCCTGGCTGCTGCAGGGCCACGTTCGGACCCACACAGGTGAGTATCCCTGTGGCCAGCTGCCCTCAACTCCCGCCTTCCCAAGACGGGTTCCCGTTCTCATTTCACGGTGGTAGAAACTGAGGCCCTGAGTTCCTGGAAATATCTGGCAGAAAGACAACTATCTTTCTTTCGTTCATTCATCAGCTAAACAGACAGCAAAGTAGCTAACTTGACACGTGCCTCCTGCATTCAGAGCTGGTTATGTGAAAGGTGTAACCCACACCTTGGAGCCTTGGTGTGGCGCACTTAGGATAAGCACTAGGCTTTTAACTGTAAAGTCCGCGGTTCAAGTCCACCAGCCTCCCCTTGGAAACCAGTAAGAGTTGGAAAGCCTGCTAACCAAAAGGTGGGCACTTAACAACAACCACCAACACCTTGCTGTGTAGCCAGGTGTGAAGCGGCCCATCTTGCTCCTCCCTCCCCCAGTCCACACCCAGCCCTGCCAGACAGGATGTTGCCAGACCCCCTACCTGGCTCTGAATCCAGCTTGGGAAACTTCCTCAAATTTTGGGCTGGGGTCTCCCCTCTCTGTGCTCAGATTTCCTCATCTCTAAAACGGGTGTTAGGACACTGTGGGGTTTCTCTGTGGATTACGTGAGAGAATGAGAATGGTGGTTGGTGGCTTTAGGCAAGTGACTTATTCCTAGCAGCCTTTGAGATATGATAGCATGCCGGTGGGTGGGTGTGAAGATTCAATGGCTTGTTAATAATTTTATAATTTTTTATCACTGTGGTTCTCAGATCTGTGTTGTGCCCAAACCTGTTATCAGACCAGGGAACAGCTTTTACTGGCAGAAAACAATCCTGTCCTGACCCTCGACAAAAGTGATGCTAAATGTGTAGGAAATTGTGAAATAGGGTCTCTTTTCAAACTTTGGTGGGCAACCCTCAGAATCCTCTGGCAATGAGGGGGGAAGGTCTTTTCAGAACTTGAATGGGAGACACTGGTCTTTGGGGCTGCTCTCTGGAGAGTGATTGTTAGGGAAACGGTTCAAAGGTCATGCTGGCCAGATTGGAGAGTCCTGTTTGCCTCTTCCTGGCACGGTGGTTCGGGTCAGGGGGTGATATTTTAGGGCTGGCATTGCGCAGGCATTATTACTACCATTGTCAAGTGGTGTTCTCAAGTCGGTTCCTGACCACAAACAGCCCACATCTAAACCTGTTCAAAGTTCCCTCTCCCCTGCCTGCCAGGTTGCCGATTAGAGGGGCTGACAGGAGTTCTATTTGGGGGAGTCCCAGCTTACCACGAGTTCCCCCCAGCCTCTCTTCAATTTTTATTTTAATGTAAAGGCACTACTTGGCCACAAAAGCCCTGTTGAAATGCACCATTGGCCTCCTCATTGACTCCCATTGTGTGTTTAAATGATGGGCCCAGTGGGTGGGGGCTGGGGGGGTGGGAGCAGGTGCATGGGACAGTGGTGCCCTGCACCTGTTCTGGTCGCAGCTGCTGGCCCATGGCGTGGCAGGCCCCTTTAATCCGGGGGATATCGCATGTACAGTGTCCCCCTCAGCGGCCTTTGTCCCGGCTGGCTGGGTGCTGATATCACACCCACCAAGCACACCGTAAAGGCGTCTGGAGGGCGGGGATCTGTGAGTGGTAGACAGACCCCCACCCCACTGCATTTTATAGCTGTGTTTAGGTTTATTTATGGTTATAGATGAAGTTGGCTGTGCTCAGGTATCATGTGAATTTACTCCGTAAACCTGCCAACAGCGCTAGGAAGGAGGGGCCCTTTTAACCCCCATCTTACAGATGAGGAGACCAAGGCACAGAGGGAAAGCCATTTTTCCTTGTCACACTGCTCCTAAGGGCTGGAGCCGGTGCCTGGCCCTGACCTCTGACCACCTCACTTTCTGTGCTCTGGGGACTACAGGACTCCGCCCCCTCTCCCTGAGCTGGGGCCCTCCTCAGCCTGCTGGCGAGTGTGTAGAGAGATGGTCCTCTGACTAGGCCTCCCCACCCTGGGGAGGCTTCCCTGCTTGCCTCCCTGTGGGTGAGCTCAGAGGACAGGTGCTTCAGAACAGGTGACCTGTTGAGTGGGTGGGTCACCTGATTTCTCTCCCACTCCCTCCCCAACACCCAGCATTGTGGCCTGGGCACCCTGGAGGGCATATTAATTCATTAGCTCTTGAAATCCCTTCTTGGGATTTAACAAATGAGATGTAGCCTGGGGGCCTGTGAGGCTAGGGTGGGAGGAAACAAGAATGTATTGGTATTTGAAAGTACCTATTGGATACCCTAGAAAAGCACCCAGGCCCTAGTGGGAGCTGTTCAGTTTATATTTGCTTTGTTAAGTGCCATTGAGTTGGCTCCAACTCACAGCCACCCTGCTGTATAGGGTTTCCAAGGAGCAGCTGGTGAGTTTGAACCGCCGACCTCATGGTTCAAACTGACCTTGCAGTCCCACAGCACTATACCAGGACGCCACATCTTGCTTTTAATGAATCAATGTTTTTTTATTTGGACAATGTTGCTTCTCCTCCCCTCCCCACCCCCATATATGCTATGTATTCTGGGGTGGGCTTATTAGAAAACAGGCAGTTAGCATTATCTGGTAGTCTCCTGGGCTTTTGTTCTTTGTAAACAGACCCCTTCACCTCTAAGGAGTTTTGGTGGTGCAGTGGTTAAGTGCTGGGCTGTTTGAACCCACGAACTCCTCAGCAGGAGAGAGCTGTAGCAATCTGCTTCCTTAAAGATCACAGCCTTGGGAAGTCTAGGAGGCACTTTTACCAACTCGAGGACAGTGGGTTTATTTTGGTTTCATTCCTTTATCATTTTTATTGAGCACCTACTGTGTACCCAACCCTGTGTTGTGTGCATGCTCTGAGAGATTTTTCCCAACGCATCCTAGCCCAGGCTGATGGCATGTCGAAGAAATAGACTTCTGTGCTCTCTGACAGAAGATTCATATTAGGGGTGGAAGTTCCCAAACCCTGGGCTGGAGCTCAGAACTTCAAACGGCCTCCGGGGAGGCTCCACCCTTAACTGCAGCTGAGAGCTGATTACTGGACAGACAAGGGGACTTATAGGTTCAGGGCAGTATGGCCTGTTGTCGGCACTGTGGGAGGGGGAAAAGCCTAACTAGCTAGATGAGGAGACCTCATGTTTGGCTCTTAAGCTTTGTCCCCAAAGTAAATCCAGGAATGACTTGTACTCCAGGACTGGTAATCAGGAATGCCACCAGTAACCTCCATGGATAGAGAGGCAGTCTCTATCGTTAAAATCAAGGGCTCTAGAGTCAGGCCTGCTTGGCCTTGCGTTGTGACCCTGAACCTGCTTACTTAACCTCTCTGGGCCTAAGTTTTACAGTCTCTAAACTGAAGATGACCGCAGCTTCCTAGGGGTGAAGATGAGGATTAACTAATTGTATATCTTTGCTTGCCACCATCCTTGTCCCGATTGCCATTGTTGAGCACTTCCTGTGTGCTGGCACCAGGCCAGGCAAATTTTATCTACTTTTCCGACAGTATCAGCTCCTGGATGTACAGAAGTCGGCCTGCTTGCCTGAGGTTCCACGGCCGAAAGTATCAGTGTCCTCAGCTGAATCTAGGCCTTGGGGGAGATCTCGGTGGTTTTGGGAGTCACAGCCGGATTCTTTTCCGAGATGTAGGGGCGGATGATTGAGACGCTGGGGTGGGTGGGGTGACTAAGGTACAGGAACTGGAGGCTCTTGTCCAGCATGGGTGAGCGACGACGTCCCCTCCCAGCCTTCACTGGCTATTGGGAGGAGTGGCTGAGGCGTGCAGTTCTAGCCCGCTTAGCACAACACTCCACTGTCTGAGTGAGTGATTCATGGTGGTCTCCCTCAACTCCCTCTCGCCCGCCTGTTTCCCAGGTGAGAAGCCTTTCTCCTGCTCCCACTGCAGCCGCGCCTTCGCTGACCGCTCCAACCTGCGCGCACACCTGCAGACACATTCTGCCGTCAAGAAGTACCAGTGCAAAACCTGCTCACGCACCTTCTCCCGCATGTCCCTGCTGCATAAGCACGAAGAGTCAGGCTGTTCAGGGGGCCCCCGCGGACCCTAGAGGCATCTCCTGCCTCTCCGGGCACCCCTCCAGCGGCCTCTCCCAGCTCCAGCAGAAAGGACCCCCACAAGTTTCTCATAGCCACAGAATTCCCTTCTGAGAGCCCCCTTCTGGCTACGCTGGTCCAACCTTAACAAGGACCCTTGTCCGGTGGTCCTCGACTCTGCTCTGGGAGCCTTGATGGGACCTGAAAGAGGCCTTTCTCTGGACATTTCCGGCTGACAGGAGACCAGCTAGCAGCAGAAGAAGCCCCTGCTTGCTCCAGAGCCTTCTTGAGATGGTGGCCTTTCTGTGTGGGTTTGTGTATCCAAAGCTGTTTGGATACAGCTGCTTTGAGCTACAGGACAAATGCCAGCAGACAGACTAGGAATCACCCACCCACTCAGGGGACCCCCCACTCCTTCCTCCCTAGCAGGAGACTCAGGCCACTTCTGTGTGAGGTGTGGCTAACTATGCAATACCCCACCCCCAGGTGACTCCACAGGGCCTTTGGGGGCGGTCCCAGGACACAAGGACATGTCTAGACCCCAAGGGGGCCCCCCAGGCCTGGGCAACCTCCTGTTTGTCCTGTTGGCACCTGTTCACAGGCAATTGAACAACCTCTCAAAAGGGACTGTGAGTAGTTGCTGTCACTTGTTAGGGGCCCAGGCCAAGGACCCTTCAGCCTGACCAATGTGTCTCCCAGAACAATTTTGGAGGTCCGACGGGTGGGCCTGGAAGAAAGATGTTTACATTTTTTAAAAGGTACACTGGTATTTATATTTCAAGCAACATTTTGTACTAAGGAAACATTTTGTATAGTAATATGTACAGCTTATTGATATTCAATAAAGCGGTTAATTTATATATTAAAAACATGTCTACTTATTTTTGTAGAAGGGTGGGTATTTTAAAGGGTTTTTAGGAAGTGGTGGTTTGCTCTTGACTGGTCTCTAAAAGGTTGGCAGTTCAAACCCCCAGCACATAGCATGGTGAAAGAAAGGCCCAGGGATCAGCATCTGTAATGGTTACAGCCAAAACCCCGTATGGAAGCTCTTGTGCTCTGTAACAGGGGTCACCAGGAGTTGGAATTGGCTCTAGGAGAGTAGGCTGGGCTTTTGTTTGTTTAGGAAGGGGGAGTGGGGCAGGAAATTCTGGAGGTCAGATATTTCAGACCCAGCTTTAAATCTGGTCCTTGGAAATACCATGTGGCTTTGAGTCCTGGGTTTGACTCTTGTGCAAATGGCCCTCAGGGTCCTGTGTGAAATGTCGGTTTGGAAGCACCTCGAGGGGCCAGGATGAGCAATAGCAGTATGTCGGCAAACTTCTTGCATGTTATACATGCTTACTAGATTTGTTTATTCTCATTCTTGGTCTAAGCAACTAGACAAGCCCAGTGCTTTGTTTTAAGCTTGCAGGCCTTTTGGGGAAGGACCGGTTACTGCTCCCAGATTCGAAAGTGGGATGAGGATGTACTTCCTGTTTGCAGGGCCCTGGGCCCTGCCGGCCTCCCTGTTGGGCCCACACCTCCGTCAAGCTGCCGAGTACCAAATGGCCTTTGATGCAAGGAAATTGACTGGCTGGAGCCAGGAGGGTGAGAGAAGCCAGGCCAAAGGGTCGGGGTCATGCAGCTTCCTGCTCCGAGGAGCCAGGGAAGAGGGTCAGCTTTCGTCCTGGGCTTGACTAATTCCCTCCCGGCTGCAGGCCTAGCTGTGGTGACCTCACCTCTCCGGGCCTCCTGGGGCCAGGAGAAAATGAGGCTCCTTTTAGCACAAAAGGTGCTGAAGATGCCAGTTTCCTGCGCAGGCGTCCCAGAGCTATGGAGCTCCAGAGTCAAGCAGGGGGTGGGGGAGCTTCATGTTCCAAAGGAGAGATGATTCTTTCTTCTAAACAGGAAATGGTGACCCGCAGGCCGGGAGCAGCCCTTAATGACTTGCAGCTTTCCTCCAAAAAAAAAAAAAGTTCTCTAACAATCGCCAAATTGTAGCTGGCCTCCCTGAAGGGAAGTTAGGGAGTTGGGGCCAGGAAAAGGGGGTGGCTTGGGCACCAATTTGCTGAAGGCCTACTATGTTCTAGGAGTCCTGGCGTGGCTCTAGGATAAGCACTGGACTGCTAACCGAAAGGCTGAAATCTCTGTGTATGGGACGATGTGAGTGGGAATCAAATCAACGGCACTTAACAATAATGTGTGTTCCAGGCTCCTGGGCTGGGCATTCCCATCTGTCACAGAAGGTACTCAGATTGGGGAATGAAGAAATGACTAGGAAAAGCCCCTGAGGGGTAAGCTATTTTGTAGCCAAATGGCTTCAGAGGGGAGTGGCCACCTGGGAGGTGGCAGAGCTGGGAGATGAACTTGAATCTGCCAGTAGGATCATCATGAGAGTTAGGTGTGCCTGGCTCATGCCTTTGGCTCTCGAAGATTCTTCCCTCTCAACCCCAATTTCTGCTGCTATAAAATGGGAGCAGGTACATTGTACCTCCCTTGGGGAGTTTGTAGAGAAATGTCAGTAGTGATGGTCACTTGGTATACCAAGGCCCTGGGGAAATACCCATAAGCTAGGTTTCCCCCCTGCTCTTGGAACCTTCCATGCAACAAAACTATGTGGAATGTTCTAGTGGGGGAGACAGTAAACAAACAAATAAGACACTGTCCTTGGGACAGAGATAGTTGCAAAGATGAATTAAAGAGAGCCTGGGGCTGGAGAGGGATGAGGTGGGACTCCTTTCAATGAGGTAGTTAGGAAAACCCTTGGGAAGGGCTGAGATCTAAAGGAGGAGAAAAATCCAGTCATGGGAAATCTGGGAAGGAGGGAAACAGCGCAAGATGTGAAGCTGGCAGGAACTTGTTCCTCTGAGCAATGGCCAGACCTGTGTGGGCGCAGGAGAGGGTAGGTAAAGTTGGAGGCAGGAGCTGGGTCCAGGCCGGGCAAAACTTGTGAGCAGGTGCAGTTAGTGGCTTTAAACAAGGGAGAAGAGAACCTTGGTGGCACAATGATTAAGTGTTCGGCTGCTAACCAAAAGGTTGGCAGTTTGAACCCACCTACCACACTCCCGGAGTCCTGGTGTGATGCTGTGGGTTAATGAGCCAGGCTGCAAAGCCGTTTGAACTACAAGGTCAGCGTTTCAAGCTCACCAGCTGCTTCTCAGAAACCCTATACAGGGTCACTATGGGTTGGAATCCACTCGATGGTACTCAACAACAACAACCACACTCCTGGCGTGGCGCTGTAAGATCAGCACTTGACTGCCAATCACAAGGTCGGCAGTTCAAACCCACCAGCGCTCTTCAGAAACCCTACAGAGAGTCGCTACGAGTTGGAACTGACTCGGCGGCTCCTAACAAAAGAAAACAAAACCAACTCTTAGAGAAGACTGGCAATTTGCTTCTGTTAAAGATCACAGCCAAGAAAACTCTATCCTGTGGGGTCTTTATGAGTCACAATTGACTCAGCTGAGCCCAACAACAACAGCGAGCCAGGGAAGGATGGGATTTAATTGACTTTTATATGAAGATCAGCTGGCTGAGAGTGAATTGAGTAAGCAGGATCTAGAATCAGCTGCTGTTGAGATTATGACTCATAGCAAATAGAAATGGACTCCATAGGGTTGCTACTGGCTGAGTTTTCACAAGCAGATCATCAGTACTCTCTTCCAGAGCACCTGTGAATAGACTTGAACCTTCAACCTTTGATTAGCAGTCAAGTGAGCTAACTCTGTAACAGCCAGGGACTCTTAAGCAGTCGGGATGGGAGGAGGGGAAAATAAAAACAAAAACATGGAGATCAGCAAGAAGGTGACCTGTTCCAAGGTGGTAGCAACCTTGGGGATGAAGATGGGATGTAAGAAGGGCTGCATTTGTGCATGGGGCCTGGCACATGTTTTAAGTTCAGTGAAGGAGAGTTACTAGGGTTATTCAAAGGAGACATTGGACGCAGATGGGGGGAGGTGTAGCACGCAGCTATAACAAGAATGAGGTGGTCCCATGTTCTGAAACAGAGCCACCGCCATGCACACTGCTTGCTAAGTGAAAAACATAGCATGCAGAATGTGTTCCCTTTTGTGGGAAGAAAAGAGGTAGACTAGAGGGTGTATTTGTATACAGAAACTCTGGAAGGATTTACGATAAAACTCGTAAAAGAGGTTCCCTAGGGGCACACAGGGTGGAGGAATTGAGATGGATGGAGACAGGAAAGGAGGAAGAGGGACTTTGGGGAAAGATTTTTTACATTTTTTCTTTTGAAATAATTTCAAGCTGACAGAAAAGGTGCAAAGGAAAAAGTCCTCTAAACTGGACTCATTCACTCAGTTTCTCCACAATGCTGACGTTTGTTCCTCTGGATTTCTGTACACACACTCCACTGCTGTTGGGTCCGTCCCCACTCATGGATACCCCATGGGTGACAAGAGGAAAACGGAGCTATAATCTTTATAGAAGCGTATCTCCAGGTATTTCCTTGATGACATCACTGGGTAGATTTGAACTGCCGAACTTCTGGTTTACAGTTGAGCGAGAATTCCCACCCAGGGGTCTCACACATACCAACATCATAATACCCTTTACCGTTTAATAGTTAAACACATATTTCCTAAGAACAAGAATAGTCTCTCATATCATTGTTGTTAAGAGCCGTCGAGTCAGTTGCGACCCCTGTATAGGGTTTCTGAGGGGCAGTTGGTAGGCTTGAAGTACCGACCTTGTGGTTCAAACCAACTTTATCCTACGGCGCCACACCGGGCCTCCTTCTCTCCCACAACCATGGTTCAATGGCCAAAATCCGGAAATTTACTCAGTGCGATGCTATTACCATCAAATCCACAATCATAATCCAATGGCTCTAGTCCCAATGATAGACTCAATAGTATTTTTTGAGGGAGAGAGAAGGGCATGATCAAAGACCCAATCTGGGATCACATGTCACATTTAAGTCTCTTTCATTCTGGAACATTCCACAGCCTTTCTTTATCTTGTACGACCTTGACATCTTTAAAAGCCTGCAGACCAGCTATTTTGTGGAATGGCC